CCATCTCGGCCTTCCGAGCTGGGCATGATTCATGAGTCATCTTGGAGCACCAATAGGGGTCTTCCACGTGTCCAGAGTATTCCCTTCCCCAAACAGACACGATGTTCAATATGGTATGTTCAAGCGATTCTGGCACAAACGAGTGAGTCATTGTGCCATGGTAGTATCTTAATGGATGAATGTTGGAAAGGTTGCGATTACAAAGACCAACTCATGGATTAGTTCTCAATAAACGTGTTAGAGCAAGCAACAAAATATGAAACCCCAATGCTCAGGGTGGTATTGTGAAGCATGGGGCTCGATTCTGAAATCCCAATTTAACTGACAATCTTCTAATAAAATTTAACAAATGGTATAAAATTGAAGTAAGTTTAGGGTTTTAATTTTTTCAAAATAATTAAACAGAAAATTTAGAATAGCCAAATCTAACAGAAAAATACTCGACCCAGAAGAATTATTAAGGGCTCGTTTGGTAACAGTCTCATTTCTTGTTTCCTGTTTCTTATTTCTAATTTTTTTTAAATTAGAAACAGGAATATGTTTGGTAATAATTTTAATTTCTTGTTTCTTGAAAAAAAGAAACAGAAACAAAAATATGTTTGATAATTATTTCCTGTTTCTTGTTTCTAATTTTTTTTTTACAACAACTTGTAGGAGTGGAATTCGAACCTACTACAATCTATTGACCAAAATTTATATCTTACTCAGGTTAGCTAGTTTTTATTTTTAGTTAAATAAAATTTAGAAAATATAATATAAAAATATATAACATAGATTCGAACAATAATATTTATTAAAGAAAATATAATTTAGAATATAAATTTATTTGATATAAACGTTATTAGCTTAAATAAAGAATAACGTTTCAAAATATTTTTAATTTAAAAAATAGAAATTTTTTTATTTAATAAAATATAATAACTTTTAATTAAGAATAAATTATCAAAATATTTTAAGTTACAAATATAATACAAAAATAAAAAAACAAATTTATAGTTTATTAAAAAATATAATTTACAATATAAACTAATATAAAAGTATAAATTGTACAAAAAAAAAGATATAAAAGTATAAATTATTAGTTTAAATAAAGAATAAAATTTTATTTTTAATTTAAAAAATTGGAATTTTTTTTGTTAAGAAAGTACAATAGTTTTAAATCAAAATAAAATTTGAAAACATTTTAAATTAAAAAAATATATAATATCAAAAAAGAGACAAAAAAATGTATTTTGCATACGACTATGTTCAAACCTTTAAACTTGTGTTTAATTTAAGCTATCTGCACCACCAGGAGATTGATGACTTTATGAAAAGAAGTGACAAATATACTATTTAATCTCAGATAGCGTTGAAACAAAATAAAGAAATAAAAACAACAAAAACGAAACTACTTTTCATAATTTCTAAAAATTGGTCTCTTTCTTAAAACGTTTCTCAAAATTTAGAAACGAGAAACGTGATTGGTTACTAAAGATGTCTGAAAATATGAGAAACAGGAACAAGAAACATGGAACGGGAACGTTATCAAACGAGGCTTAAACTATTCAAATCAAAAAATCAAAAAAATTCAAAACACTCAACACTTAAACGGAAGCTTACAAAACAAGAAAAAAGGATTAGCAATTGATATGATTTACCTTTGAACTCCGATACTATTTATTTGTATAATAACACCAATAACACTACTTCTTTATCTAACAATAATATTAAATCAAAATCCAAAAACTCCACTAAGCAATGTAGAAAATTAAATCAAACCAAAATTTATAGACATTCGACCAATAAGATCTACCTCGATTATACAAGGTGAAAACAAACTTTTATTATTTTCACTGAAAAACATCCATTATGCAACCTCAAACCTCATATAGCAAAAATGTATTTTTCCTTTAATTTACTATAGTTTTGGAATTTTTTATTCAATTTACAATTTTTTAATTATTATTACTTTACAAGCTACCTATTTACATTCAGTCTATCAAACTCCTATAGAAAATATTATTAAATTGTACGAACAAAACTTCCTGATGCATGAAATTTATTTTATTAATATATTTGTACACGTGTGCTTGCCTTTACTTCCTATCTTTACCTACCTGCCTTGAACTAGTGCACTTGCGTATACATTTTCCTGTTCGAGACAAAAGATAGCTTGAACTAGCATCAGATGCTGCTACTTGACTTATATATACTATATGACACGTGGGGTCAGCTCTAYCAATTAACAAAAAAAAGAACTTTTTTTTATTTCTTTTTCCTTAAGTTTGTCGGATTATAATGTCGTCATATCTATGTGTCAAAATAAAAAATATATTARCAAAACAATAATTAACKAGACATGAGTTATTTTTATTAAAAAGTTTTAAAAGATTAAATYGAAAGATTCTGGATCAATCATAGATTATTATTAGTAGGGTAAAATTGTACTCCGTTACAATTTATTGTACTCAAACATGGGAGAAAATACATCAAAATATTCATATCATAAGGATTCGAAAGTAAAAATCCATGCATAGACTTAAGGGCAATCGTAACTTTCTCTCTTCTGATAACATTTTAGCAAATTCAAAGAGAGCTTCTTCATTGGTGCCATCATCAACTGGTTCAAACTTTCCAGATTCCAAATTTACCCTTGACAACGGTTTCTTCAATAGATTCTCCCCCACATTTACAAGCTTCTGTAAATTCTCTTTAGTTGCAATATCCACAGATGATACGTCACCAGTCAATGTATCATCCTATACATCCACAATCATACACATCACATTTTCTTGAGTGATATTTTTAAAATCAATTTTTCTTTAGTGATTTTAGAAATATATTATGTGTAACACTTTTGAGTTTGTTAGTAAACTTTTTGTTTTTCAGTTTTTTTTTTCTTCTTAAAAGCAAGATTGTGTTGGCATCCAAAGGATTTGTAATTTTTTTTTAAATCCTCAAATCCTAGTCAAAAGTTTAAAACTAAAATATTTTAGGTTAAATTTAAGATTTGGTAATGAAATTTTTATAGTTATGTCTAATAGATCTTTGAACTTTAGAAAAAATTCTAATTACGTATCTAAACTTTTAATTTTGTGTCGTGTAGGTCTTTAAATTTTAATGGTGTCTAATAGGTTTCTGAATTTTTAATTTTGTACGTAATTAAGTTCCTAAACTTTAACGGTTTTTAATATGTCTCTTAACTTCTAATTTTGCCTCTAATATTATCTTTGACCATATTTGACATTTTAAAAAATTCACCAACCTATTTGACTTAAAATTGAAATGTCAAGAGTCTACTCTAGACACAAAATTGAAAGTTTAGACACAAACCTGTTGAACACAATTTTGAAAGTTGAAGAACTAATTAAACTTGTAATTTGACAAAAATTTTATATCCTCTCCTTGTTGAACTTTAAAAAAATATATTTTTATCTTTTAAATTCGAACCCGATTAATTTAGAAGTCTCTTTAAAAACGTGAAATATAAAAAGCATAGTTAATAAGAAAAATAAAAAGAAGGTATATATGTACCTGAATACGAAGATAGTGTTTGTCACAAATTGTAGATTGGAAAATGCAATGAAATATGATAGTCGACCATATCTGCACTAGCATCACTGAAAATATCAATTATAGGTGTTGCTCCGTGGTCGTAGATCCAACCAAACATACCCCATTGAGAAGACTTGGACACACTATATTTGCAATCATATTTGACATTTCATACCTCGATTGTGTTGAAAATCACAGGTTGGAGAAGCTTGATGTCAAAAGTTGGAATAATAACATGGGTTAATGTTTGTTTAATTGTTAGATCTCCGAGCAATCCATTTATCAGTGACCTCAAGTATTTGCCATCRTACTTTGGGCCCATAAATTTTCCGAGTAAATTCACCGCTGAACTTAGGAAATGACTAATTCCACCCGAAAAAGCCAAATTCAGTAAATGAAACCATAACAAAAAAATCAGGTGCCATGTTTGATTTGTAAGATCAGAGAATAGTGTGGAGGATAAGCTTCTGAAAAAATGGGTTTTTATAATGGAAAAAACTCAGCT